TTTCTGTGCAACGCAATCCCGCTTCTAATCGGACGCGTCAGCTCCCACGTGGGCGCTCGGTGCGGAAACTAGGATGTTTCCCTCTCTGCGCGATGCCAGCTCGCCAGAAAGGAAACGCTAGATGAAGGATACGTGTTCACAAACAAACAAAAAACAAACAGATTTTCGTGGAAAAGAAAAAGTATTTTGGATAATGACTCCTCCACAGGGGGCGCTGTGGCCTGAGTGTTTGTGTCCCCCACAAATCCGCGTGCAGACCCCCTGACGGCCGGAGCGCAGGGGGGGCCCTGCTGAGCGGGACCAGAGGCCCCGCCCAGTCCCCTCGCCCTTCTGCCACGTGAAGTGAGCGGGGACACAAGAGCAGCACCGTCTGCGAGGCCACGGGCCCTCCCCGGACACCGCATCTCGGGCAGCCTGGTCTCGGACTCCAGCCAACAGAACTGCCAGAGGTAAACGTCCGTCGTGCATCAGCCCCCACAGTCTGCGGTGTTTTCTTAGAGCGGCCGGAGCGGACTAAGACAGGGCGTGAGATGCCGTGGAGTCTGGGGTCCACGCTTAGTCACGCTTCTACCCTGTGCCTAGAGGAACGGGGTGCGGAGGGTCCCCCTCTGGAGAGCGGGCGAGAGCATGGCGTGTCCTTGCACCTCCGTCCCTCACCAGAAACCCACGGCCTGGGGAGTCTGACCGGTTTGACCTCAATGCCCTGCCCCCACTCAGCTCGGGGAAGTCCCTCCGCTTCTCCGGGCCCTGGTTCTGCTGCTGTAAAGCGAAGTCGCTTGAGTGATCTCTTCCCTGCGGGGGTGGGGGGGCGCTTCCAGCAGACGTCCTGGTCTATAGAGTCCCTGCGTGCCACCGTGGGTGCTGGCGACAGACAGGCCGTCATCGGTGTCTCTCCCCGGGCCAGTCGGTGCGTCTGGGCCCCTCCCTCCCTCCCTCCTTCCTCCTTCCCTCCCTCCCTCCTTCCTCCTTCTCTCCCTCTCTTCTTTCCTTCCTTCCTTCTTTTTAGAATAATGCAATTTTAGTTCTCCTGCTTTCTAGGACCTAAAAATACTGAGAAGTATACTTTAAAGATGTTCACCCGTGGACTGGGTCCCTCTCAGCTGACGGGGTCCGTGGCCCTCAACCGGCGAACCTCAGCCCCGCAGCTCCGCTCTGGCCCGAATACGCCTCCTAGGCTCGTGAACAGTCGAGTTAATAAAGCCTTGGATTCGATCACCTTGACAATGACTGTGTCCACCTGACATTCCTTGCGCACCACATGCCCACAGCGCCGGGTCTGCTTCTGTGGAAAGCGGTCGGGTGGAGGGAGCACGGGACACGGTGTTCAGTGGGGGCCGCCACTGCTCACTCTGCGCTGCTGGAAGCCTTTTCACTGTGGACGCCCCACGGGGGCCCCCAGGGGAGCTTCGGGGTTGCGGGGGGCGGGGGGGGAATGAGCCCGAGTGAAATCTGAGCTACAGCGAGGGTCCCTCCCTGCAAGGTCTGAAGAATCCAGAAACATCCATCGTTCCAGTTACTTGAAGATGTGTGACTCTTTCCCGCTGTAAATCGCATTTCGAGTCTGTGCCCGCAGTGAACGCGTCACCGTGGTGCGTGTGCTAGCAGACTTGGGCGTTCAAACCCCGGCAGCGGAGAGCCCTTCCTTCCAGCGATGGGAAAATCTTGTTCATAAAATTACAGTGTTGTAGATCCGTCTACTTTTTCTGCTTCTTACGTGTCTTTCATGAATTATATACACTAACCAGGGCACTGGAGAAAAAATTACAGCAAATGTAAATAACCACAAAAAAGTTTACGGGGAAAAAATCGCTTAGGAATCGGAGAACAGGGTTAAGAAGGACAGAGCCCCAGCCGAAGGCAAGGAAATCGCAGGGATGTGACGTGCAGTGTGGTGAGTGCAGGTGACGTTGCTGTGCTGCGTGTTCGACAGTCGGTGGGAGAGTGGACCCTGAGGGTTCTCATCACGCACCAAGAGCACTCCGTGACTGGGTGTGGCGACGGGTGTTAACAGGCCATCGTTTCACTGTGCACACAAGTGTCAGCTCACTTCATCGCACACCCGAACCTAATACAGTATTATTTGTTAACTATCTCCATAGGAAAGAATTGCATAAAATTGATTCTTGAAATGTTCTTCTTCCTTCCCTTATCATTTCTTTCTTGTGTCACATTGTTTAAGCAACACGCCAAAGGGCTTTCAGTTTCCCTGAATTAAAATATGTCATGAAGTATCGCAGGTTCAATTCCCGGTCAGAGTACATGCCTGGGTTGCACGCCATGGCCCCCAGCAACTGCACATTGATGTTTCTCTCTCCCTCTCTCTCTCTCTCTCCCCCCTTCCCTCCCTAAAAATAAATACATCTTTTAAAAAATATATCATGTGACTTATTCTTTCTTATCAGGTATCAGAACCTTTAAAAATCAAAGCAGGCGACGTGAATGAGGCAGCCCTGGTCCACGCAGGTTCACAAAACATGCACCAGGAATTAAGCGCCACAGTCTCAGGAATCCAGAAACACAAACGTTCCCTCCGAGGGTGATTCTCCTCACTCCAGAAGCCCCTTTCCCCCACCCGCCCCGCCCTCAGGCTTCTGAGAAGAGTATACTCTGGAGTTGGAGGAGCAGAGTGGGGGAGGTAACTCAGGCGCAGGAGGTAACGTCGCCCCAGGCAGCCGGCCCGCTGGGGCGTGGTGGGGGGGGGCGGCCACCGGTGATGGATGGCTGGGACACACCAGAGGCCTGGGGACGACGGGCAGGCCCCGGAAAGTGTCTAGGACAGAGATTTTCAACCCTTCCCATCTCAGGACACATGTAAATTAACTACTAAAACTCGGCGGCATACCCACACAATTTGTTTTTGCCCATCGGATGAAGAAACAGGTATAATTTTGATTCATTCCCACCGGACAGCTAGTGTTGTGTTGGCTGTTGTCACTTTTTCCTTTGGCAATCTAAGGGGGAAAAGGTCCGCGTCCGTCACTGAACAGTCAGGTGTCGCATGTCGCATTTTAAAATCCTTGCGGCTCGCCCGTGGGAAATCCCCGGTCTAGCAGAAGGCAGTGGAAAGTGTCTAACGTTCTCACGTGTTACTTGCACGGCGCCTCTGCGCCTCCAGGTAGGTGTCGTGGTCACCTTTCCCCAGAGTCTCTTGGCCAAGACACGGCTCCACCCTGCGGGTGTCCCTTCGTGCGCACGAAGGTGCGTTTCGGAGTCGGGCCGTGGAATGCGGCGGGGCCAGCTGGACTCCGTGTTAGTGCTCGTGAGATGGCCCTCTGACCCCGCTTTCCCACGGGCGAAATGACGACGGACTGCGGTTTCCCATTACACTGAGGAGTCACCGTGATCACGGTAACGCTATTTCCCTGAGGGAGAAATGCCGACTGATTGCGATGGATACACGTAGGAAATCAGATTTAAAGTTGCACATGGATGTCCCCAGGCAGCACGGCTAAAACGCAAAACTCATGTTCATCGTAAATAAACAGGCTGGATGTTTTTATCCACATGTGAAACGTAAACTCCTGTCTTGTAACTCACTGCTCACATTTTAGAACACTACTTGCTACACTTTCAAAAATACTTTCAACACACTTTTTAAAAGATTTTATTTATTTATTTTTAGAGAGGGGAGGGAGGGAGAGAAACATCAATGTGTGGTTGCTGGGGGCCGTGACCTGCAACCCAGGCATGTGACCTGACTGGGAATCGAACCTGTGACACTTTGGTTCGCAGCCCGCGCTCAATCCACTGAGCTACGCCAGCCAGGGCTTTCAACACAGTTTTGAGTCTTCGTCACAAATGTTTTCTCTCTGCAGGGGGCACCCCTTCTCCCGATGCCTAGTGTGTTTCCAGGGGAGACTATAACTCATTTTATTACGATGCTGCTTGGTTTTCAATCACTTGAAAATCGCCACCACTATTTGGCCACAGACAGAATTCCCAACAACCTACCCCTCCCCTCCGAAGGTGCAAAAACTTCCCGGCACCACTGAAGTGTTTTTTCAGGTTGAGGGATTATTCCAATGCCGACCCAACATAGCCTGTAAGGGCCCAAGGAGGCACTTGTTTGCACAGCCTTACGCTGGTTTTAAAAACGGTTTGGGATTTCCTAAGGCTTCGCCATTTCCAACGCAACAAGGGGGCAGAGCGGTGGAGAAGGGGGGCCTGGGCGCCGTGACGGGGCTCCAGGTGCCCGGTGAGGAGCCGGGCCTTGGGCAGCAGCCCCGTCCCACCGCTGCCCCCACCCCCCCAAACCGGGCTGACCCACCCGAGCGGGTCCTTCATGGGCCCACGTGCAGCTGCTTTCGAACCTACGGTCAAGTTCGCAGAGCCCCTGCTGGGAGAAACTATTTGAATGAGATTCTTGTAACAAGTGTTACAACCTGTTTTGCTGTTTATTATGTTGATTTTAGCGCCCTCTCTTTGCTCTGGGAAAATATTCCTTTGGGACAATGATGAGAAGTGGCTCTAATGGCGGCTGTGCCAGGCCCCCCGCCCCCCATGAAAGCTCATCCAGACGCTGGGACCCTCACGGAGGGGAACAGGTCCGAGCCCAGACCCCGCACTGCTGGTTACCTCACCCCACGGGCCGCTCACCACGGTCCCATTCGGTTACTAGGGGCTTAAACCTTGAGTGGACCAACAGTTTCTAAACCACAAAAATTGGATTTTAGGCAAACAAACAGAAAGTTGGAAAATCTTTTGGAAAAGTTTTTTTTCCCTCTATTTTAACAGAAAACCCACGGCTGGAATACAGACACCCCTTCGCGCCAGTTTCGAGCAGTCACGCCGCTACGACACAGAATGCTCACACACTCTCACACACACACACACACACACACACACACACACGCACGTCGGCCCGGTTTCTGCGGGCTCTGCCCGTCGCCACCTGGCGCACTGAGCTTCTCCAGTGCTGTCACACTGACTTAAAGACGCGATTTCTCTCCAGGTTTCCTGCAAATGCAGAGTCTGCACTGGGGGGGGGGGGGGGCGGGGGACGGCGGTGGGTTCTGTGACGTACGCAACGGTGGGCACGTCCAAGCCGCGGGCACCGGTGTTTCTTTCTGGCACTTCGGTTTATTCAAATAGGTTCCAAGTGAAATTCTCTCGTCTGGAAGGTAGAGACTTTCTTTTCTTTCCCTGGCCTGCATCAATCACACTACCTTTGGGGAGCGTTCCCCCCAGAGGGATCTGGGGTCGGCTGTGAGTTTGGCGGGGAGACCCGTGACCACCGACGGAACGGGCAGCAGCAGGACGAGAGGTGGGGGGGTCAGCGACTCTCCGGGAGCCCCAGGGACTCAGGGAGGCGGGGCCCGGGGCCAGACTCGCCCCAGCGCTTGCCTCGTTCTGTGCAAGCCTCACCTTCCCTCGCCCTTGCCCCTGCCCCTGGCCGGGTCTCACTCGCTCTCTCTCTCACACACTCACACACACTCACACACACACTCACACACCGCGGCCCATCAGCTCAGGCCCCCGCACCTGCTGCCCTCCCCCAGGTCCGCAGTGTCTCCTCCCTGGTCCCTTCTGGAGCAAGCCCCCCTCTCCGGCGCGGGCAAGGGGCACATGCCTGCCCAGGGCCCGAGCTCCTGCAGGAACCAGAAGCACAGGGGTGGCCGGAGTGTGTGGTGGGGGGCAGCTGCCAGAGAGAGACTCGGGGGACACCAAGGGCAAACAAAATGCCACCTCCTAACGGCTCCAAAGAGCAACTTCTGGTAAAAACAAACTGGGGAGGAGAAGGCTTACATTCACACAGGAGGCCGCTGCCCAGCTCTGTTGCAGGGGCCGGCTCTGTCCAGGTGAAGGGCCGAAAGGAGAGAGGGACACCAGGGTGGCCTTGGGCCGCCTCCCCTGAGCACGTGTGAACGCAGGAGGGGCGGGGGGTGGGGCAAAGGGGAGCCCATCCTGGGACTCCGGGTCCCCGGAGGCACCTGAGGGGCAGGGGCAGTGAAATGGGGGCTGAGTGACAGGGAAGGGGGCTGGGGTCCCTAGGGTCCGCTGACCACCTGGCAGCCCTTCTCCCTCCCCACCCCTGTGGGCAGTTCCAACTGTTGGAAAGTCCGTCTGAAACATGACCCAGGTGTCCCTGGAGAGTGGGGAGGGAAGGGCGGCCAGGAGGGAAGAAGCAAGGAGAGTGTGTGCCAGGCAGGGCCGGAGGCGGGAATCTCTGCACACGGGGTCCCAGCTGACCCCCACCAGCATGAAGAAGAAAGCTCTTTGGGGTCCCCCAGCTCCCTCAAAAAGCTGGGGCTGAGAGCCAGCTCTGGTCCCTTTAAGGCAGACCCCCACCCCCACCCGGGGAGAGCCTGGATCTCAGGCCAGAGAACCGAAAAGGAAAGGCCGGAGCAGTCAGCAGGGAGAGCCCCCCTGCCCCACCGACAGGTCTCCTGGGTGAGGGGCAGGCGGGTGCCGGGCTGCCCCAGCTCAGTCCCCGCTGGGCTCTGCGGGCCCTGGTCCCTCCCAGCGGCCCTGACCTGTGGGGCCTTCATCAGGGGAGGACTGGCGCTTCCTTCCGCTCAGCACCTCTGGGGAGGGCCCTTGGGGCGATCCGCGGGCTCCCCTCAAACTTCGGTCCCTTCCCGGCTGTACACGAAGTGACCCACGCGGAAGCCAGCGGCCGCAGTCTGATGACCAGCGGGGAAGCTGGGCGAAGGGCTGGGGGGCGGGTGGCCGGTGGCAGCCACGGCCGCCGGCCTCCCGAAGGAAAAGTCCCCCGCCAGCCCCCCGGGGAAGGCGCCGAGGCCGCCAGCCAGGGCGCCCATGGCTGAGGCGAAGCTGGAGAAGCAGGCGGCGGCCTCGGGCGCGGGCGGGGACGGCGCGGCCTGCAGGTCCGGGGACCCCGTGCCCAGGGCGTCCGGCTCGGGCGCCGGGGCTCCGTCGGGGCTCCCCGCTCCCGGGAGTGCGGCTGCGCCCGCCTCCCCTCTCCTCTTCCGCCTCCTTCGGAAGTTCCCGTTGTCGAACATCTTCTCACAGTTTGGGTCCAGGGTCCAGTAATTGCCTTTGCCTGCGGAGGAAGGAAGGGCCCAGCTCAGAAGATCCGGGGTTCGAGGGGCCGTGGTGCAAACGGGAGACACGCGGGTCAGCTTTAGAAAGATCCCCGCACGGGCCCCACCTGGAGCCCTCCGCCTCCCCAAACCCTGGGGTGGCCCTTGGTACTGGAGCCAAGGGGCCTCCACGGACAGCCAGGCTGAGGAGGACTGGTCTCGTTTTCTAAAGCGGCACCTTCTTTGCCTCACCAGTCCTTGGGGGAGGCACTGTCTGCCCCCCTTTACAGAGAGGACCCTGAGGCCCAGCGAAGTCACTCGGAAGGTGTCCCGGCTGGCTGGGTCACGACTGCGTGCAGACACTCAGAGGCGCGTGGAGGACGGGAGGAAGTCAGGGTCTGTGGGGTCCCGTTGCCTGCCTTCTGCGGGCCCTCCGCCGCCAGGAGCGTCCCCCCCTCCCGCCCCTCCCTGCCTCAGGGGACCCCAGCTGTGCAGTCGAGGGCGGGGCGGCCCAAGGCCGTCCCCATCCCTCCGGGGCCAGCAGCCGTGGGACTCCGCGGAGTCGGACCGGGGAGCCGCGCGCCCTCTGTTTACCTGGGTCGTTCTCGTCGCGGGGCACCTTCTTGAAGCAGTCGTTGAGCGACAGGTTGTGGCGGATGGAGTTCTGCCAGCCCGCCTTGCTGCGCTTGTAGAAGGGGAAGTTGCCGGCCACGTACTGGTAGATCTGGCTGAGCGTCAGCTTCCGCAGCGGCGCGCTCTGGATGGCCATGGCGATGAGCGCGGAGTATGAGTAGGGAGGGCGCACGAGCCTCAGCAGCTCCTGCTGCCCCGAGAGGCTCAGCCAAGCTAGGTCGGCACCCGCCAGGCCGCCCGCGGCGCCCAGGAGCGGGCCGGGGGCCGCGTAGCCCGGGGGCGCGTAGGGGGACGCAGGTCCAAGGCCGGGCGCAAAGGGCGCGGGGCTGAGGCCCGGCGCGTCCAACCACAGGCGCGGGCCGCCGCCCGTCGCGTCTAGGTCGCCGCGCCCGTAGCCCGCGGGGTGCGAGGCTGCCCGGGCCTGGCTGTGCGGGGCCGGGCAGACGCCCGAGCCGTCGCAGTATGCGGCCATGCCCAGGGGCTCCCGGGCCTGGCCGGGCGGCTCTGCCCCGAAGCTCATGGGCGCCCCATCCACCGCGGCCGCCGGCAGCTCTCAACGCGGCCCACCCGGCCTGCCTGCTGCCCTTTAAAAGCCGTAGGGGTCGAGCCCCAGGTGAGAGTCGGTGTGCAGCCTCCGCCCACACCGGCGTTGCCAGAGTGACGCCTCCGCCCGGCCCCGCCCCGCCCCGGGGGTCAGCTTTCCGCCCCGCCCTAGTCCCGAGGAGCTTCTAGCCGCCCCAGTATCTCCCCCACCCCCGGCCTCCTGAGCTGGGAGACGCGTCTTTCTCTGCTTCTGCGAGGGCACCCTGGGTCCCCACCTCTTCAACTCCGCAGCCCCGGTTGCCCCAGGCCCTCGGGCAGGTACCCCATTTCCCGAAGTCCAGTGTGCGGCCCCATGGCTCTCCCACGGGGGACTCTGCCCCTGAGGAATCTCCCAGGAGGGCCCCGGTGCTGGGCAAGGAGTCTGTGGCAGGGGGCACACCCAAGTGTCGTGGGGTTAGGGCCACCAGGAAGAACGGCGCGACAGAGGAAGGAGGACCAGAGGGCCCGTGGCGGAGCGTGGGTGGGCGCAGACAGGACGCGGGAGTCACACGGAGTCCACACGTGACCAACGTGGGAAGGCGAACCACACCCTTGTGAGGGTGGAGGTCCTGGAAGCTCGGGCCGCCGCAGCCTTCCAGACAAACCTGCGCTGCTCCGGAGCCCCGGGGGCCAGGGGTCCGCCTGGCCGCCTGCTCCGGGGCCCTGGGCACTGGGGTGGCAACGGTCCCTGCTGCTTCTCACGAAAAGCACGGCTCTGCGGTGCGCGCCCGACAGTATCCACCGCGCCTGGGGCCACCAGCTCCCCCAGCTGTCCTCCGGCACCCCAAGCCTCTCTCCGGACCTGGACCGGAACCGAACCCGGGCTCGCCACCTTGCCTGGCTCCCCGCTTCCCCCCTGTGGGCTCCGGGCACACCGCCCAGGCCAGGCCCACACTCTGCAGGGCCGGGAGCCCAGGTGGGGCGCGGGCCTCCGGGCTCTGAGAGCGGAGCCCCTGCCCTCGTGCGGAGGAGGGAACCCTCTCGGGAGGGTCCAGGTTCAGGGGCGAGAAGGTCCCATTAGTGCCTCGCTTGTCCAAATTAGTCTCGCCCGGGGGCCCTCCTGAATATTTCCTGGCGCTGTGGGTGCTCAGAATACATCTCAATTCATTTTTAAAAACCCCCAAAAGGTCCAATTTCCCTGCTGCTCTCCGCTTCTGGCGTTGGGGAGGAGGAGGGGGCCGTGGGTCGGGGCTGGAACTCGAGACCCGGGCTCTGGGGCTCTGGAACGAAGGAGCCGCCGGCCCAGGAGTGGCAGCCTTAGGCCTCTGCCGTGGTCACATCCAACGTCGTGTAAAAACAACCGACTTGTGGAACTATCTACCACGAGGCAGAAGGGAGGTCCCTCCGTGGCGACGTGGCCTCTCCCCGTGGGAGTGCCAGCTGCTTAGGACCTGGGGGCCTGCCAGAGGGTGGGGGCCAGGGGGGCTGGCCCAGGAAGGAAGGGCCTGGCTGGTTCCTGGGGGCGGGCCCTTCAGTGGCTGCCCCCCCTTCCCCAAGATTTCTCACTGTAGTCAGAGGGGTAGAGTTGTGTGTGGGACTCCAGGACCTTTCAGAGGCCAGTTCCCCCGAGAGGACACTGCAGGGGCAGTGTGTGTGTGTGTGGGGGGGGGGGGGGATGGGACTGCTGAGGATGAGAAACGCTTTCTGTGTTTTCCTTCTCTCTGTCCCTCCCTCCCTTCCTTCCCTCCTTCCTTCCTTCCTTCCTTCTTTCCTTCCTTCCTTCTCCTTTTTCTTTGTGGGGGGAGGGGTGCCCTCTTTGCGTTTTCTATCAAAAGCAGAGGCCAGAGCCATCTGCCACCCCGTGCAGCGCTGCCCACTCTGTCCTCACAGCTGTGGACCCGTGGTGTCCCTGAGGATGGGACGAGACGCCGGGGGACCGCATCTCAGACGGAGTGCCTTTCACCGACAGACGGGCTGCAGGCTTGACTCCGAGGAGTTCGCACGTCAGGGGCATGCTGGGCGTGCGTGGCTGCCCGTGCACACGCCTCCCCTCCGCAGGTGCGGCCCTCAGTGTGCGGGGCGTCCAGCAGGCTCCCAGCCCGACGTCCAGCAGTGACCGCTGTGAGCGGGCAGCCTTCCAGAAGCACGTTTTCCGAGGACAGACCGTCACAGCCGCCACACAGCTCTGCCTTGACCCGAGAGATGGGGTAACGGAGAAGGGGAGTGGAGATGGGCCAGGCGGCCGGGTGGGGGGGCTCCCCTGCAGGCTGAACCCACGAGGGCCACCTTCCCTTCCGGGGGCGCTGATGGACGACTGCTGGGAGCACCTGCTGCCCTGCGGGGGCTCGCAGTCCGGGCCTTCGGGGGGAGGAGACTCTTTCCTGGGTGCAGAGACCAGCGATCCGGGAGCAAGGACTAACGTCACCTACCGCCAACCGTGTGGCTGTGGTCATATAACCAGAGACGTTGAATTTCAAAGAGCGGCGCGGGTCACCTCGCAATGTAAAGGGACGAAAGAAGAGGACAGGCCTTTCCAAACCCCCTGCACTTTTAATGAATGGCCCTTCTCGCTGCTGATACGGTGACGCGTGTGCGGTTCTGAACCTCTAAGAAAATCAGAGGCCCCTCCTGCACCTGCCTTCAGTCCTACGTTATAAAAACCATCACAATGTGTGCTGTGCAGGGGTGTCCATGTCTGAACCCCGCGGCCCGAGGTCCGCCCCCCGTCTCCACGGTAACGGCATCCTCATCTCTCCGTGGTCTGGACCAGGACGTGCGCACCGGGGACGAAGGGCGGTCACGTGGGGAGACCGTTTGAACACCGTCCGTCTTGGGCGGATCTCCGATGGGAATTTTTCCAAGAGGAAAAAAATAACCCTCTGGGGAAGACGGGACAAGGCGGAGTATCCAGCCTCCCCGGCCCTGGGCCCGCCCCGGCATTCTGCGGGGTTTCCCTGCACAGCACGCACGGGCCGGGCTCGTTCTCCAAACCTGTCCCCTTCTGCTGAGTCCTCCAAAGGGGTGCCTCCGTCTCTGCCTCCACCTCACCTGGGGAGAGATCTCCCCGGTCTTCCTCCACCAGCGCCCAAGCCCGCTGGCAGCCGCACCCACACCTGTCTTCCTCCTGCCGGTCCCCGTGGGGGGGCGGTCCCCGCTTCTTTAAGACGGTCTCTCTTCTGCGTAGCGCAGGGCTGCCGCCCCAGGGGCATCACTCAGGGGGCACTCTCTGGCACTCCCCGAACATGAGGGGCTGTGATCCTAGGTTCTTGTTCCCACCCTTTTCTCAGCACCCCCTCCCCCACTCTGCCCCTCCCCCCCCCCCAGCATTTTCCAGGTCTCAGGTCTCTCCATCTCGCGGAACTTCTCTTCTGATGTTGCCCCATCCCGCCACTTCTCCTTGGCAGCCCAGCTTCTAGAAGGGTGCCCCTGTCAGCTGTTGCTCTGTCCTCTCCCCTGCGGACCACAGCCCTTACTCAGCCTGGACAGCACCCCCCCCCCCCGCCCACGCCCTCCCCGCCAGAACTGCGCAGGCACAGTGCCCAGCGGCCTCCGACACTCTCAATCCAGGGATCTCTTTACTCCTCATTTTGCCCGACTCCCAGCAGCTCCTGACGCCTTCCGGAACGAGCCCCCATGCTCTGCTCGCTCTGTGACCCTGCTGGCCTCCGGGCATGTTCTCTGGCCCTGGGCTGGCCTGCCTCTCGCCCGGGGCTCTGCTCCCGGTCTTCTCGTTGCTGTTGCGGCTTCAACGACCAGCCAGCAGCTCAGGGCTCCTCAGCCTCAGCACCGTGGACATACTGGGCCGGACAACTCTTTGCTGTCCAGTTGGGAAGTCCTGTGTTAACTAATAATTTTTTAATTTCTATCATCCATTTGGAGGTCTTCCTCTCCAACTCCCACACCCCAGACTGAATTCTTTATCACTCGCACAGCAGCCCTGGACGGAGTCCCCGGGGGCTGAGGGTCCCTCAGCGGACAGATGGCGCGGAAGCAGGAACTTCAGTCCTACATCCACAGGGAACCGAATTTTGTCCATGACCTTGGGCGAGGCCCCCTCGACACGCAGCGGCCGACACCTTGACTTCAGGCGGAGTAGGAACTCATCTGTGCCGGGGTGCTTGGATAGAGTAAGGGACTCAGTTTCCCCAGCAAGGTTTCCCCAGGTGCAGATTGTTACTGGTTTTATTTTTCATGACGGTCAATCACTCTGCTGGAACCTGCAAAATGGAAGTTTTCTTGTTCTGCCGTTCCTTTAACATTTACTAACTGTCATTTTTGAAAAACCACGACGACAGACCTTCCTGTCATCCATTGGACTTAGTTTCCCTAAACTATAATTCATCTTAGAAAGAAGAAAAATGTACATGGTTCTGCCCTCTTTATGAATCGATCTTTAAGAGAAAGGTGTGGCTGAAAACCATCTTAATGGGAAACAATATTTTTGTTTTGTTGGATTTCTCTTCTGAGTATCACACGGACTGAGGACGTTTTATATTTTAATGTTTTCATCAATTATAATTATTTTTGTGATGCTTATATCGTCCAAAACTGGGGTGTCGGGACACCCTGAGGCTGGTGGCTGTGTCCTTTCGACCTGGTGCTGCCTGTCCTGGGACGTCCCCTCAGTTCCTGACCCAGCTGTGCCCGGCTGTGCCCGCTTCTGACCGGATCTCGGACCGCTGTTTCTCCAGTGCGCCCTGGTCCTTTCCAGAGGGAAGGGTATTGAGAGACCAAAATGGGGAGAGGGGGATGTTTTCCGGGGGGGGCACCGTGGCTTCTAGACCCGGCAGTGAACAGGGAAAGGTTTTTGAATCATAACTTAATGTACTACTTCGTTACATTTCATACACAGGTTTTCTTTTCTCCTTTTAAATGTTTGCTCTGTACTCGTGTCTCCTTTCGCCTGCATCTGAAATCTGATTCCTGATGCCATCAGCACAGTTACTTCTTGCTGTGTGTCTCCCTGCACACCTCGGTGCCTTCAAACAACCACGCGGTGTCCTTGGGAACAGAAGACCGCTGGGGGAGAAGTTAAGATTTCTCTGCA